TTTTTTTTTCAGTCAGATTGGCTGCATTGTCACTGCTAAATCCTCGGAGCTACTAATACGAATTGAATGTGGATGTTACAGAAGAAAAGACTCACATATTAACATTCACATCAAGATTAGTTTATTAGCAACTGGGAAATTTCGCTTGAAAAACTAAAACTGTCTAGATACAATAGAACCTATGAGATTTCTAATATGTCTTTTGTATCTATCCATGTTAAAGAATCTTCTATTTGTCATTTTAACAAAATTATTCATTTTGTTTTTTTCAGGGAATTATTGAAAAGTCCAATGAATTAAATGAACAATTGCAAAATTTTGAACAAAACGATCAAAAATCGATTCTAATCATTATTGTCGATGGTCGTATTAATCAACAACGTATACATATTCCATTTATTCGACAACTAATTGATAAATCTGATCTTTCTTGTAATAAATCAACTGAAACCCTAGGCGAACATCTTGTAAGCAAGATCTTGGCCAAGATCTTGGGTACAGAAATGTTAGTAGATCTTGAAAATTTAGGTACAAGATAATCACATTATCTTGTACCTAAGATCTGTGACTAGATCTTGAGTACAGATACGTAAGATCTTTGGAACAGATATTCCAGATCTTTTATGTAATATCTTGTGTTTTATGATCTTTTCTACTGATCTTTGGAACAGACAATTAGATCTTGTCTAATGATCATCAAGACTTTCAAGATCTTAAGCTATTATCTTACTGTGTATTTATTATATACATATATATATACAAATCTTCGGTAAAAGTTGCACAATTTTCATCAAGACACACCGTCAAAATCAAAAAATTTACAAATAGCTGTTCAATTCACGTTGATTAACATAAATTCAAAAATATGCAATGAAATGGATTACTTAAAAATCAAAATAAAATTACAAGTTACAAAACTATTAAAAACCTTGTTGATCTACTGTGAGTGGTATTGTTCATGAATATCGTATAAATGGGATTTAAATCACCATTGGATACTGCTGTTTCTATTCATTATTATTTGTATCAAGTGGAAATGATGCAATTGTTGTTATTGTATCATTTAATTTTGGTGTTTCTGATAATGAATTGTTGTTTGATTTCGACTTATTCCCTCGACTGAAAGGAGGGTCATATGAAAAAAAATAGTTTGTGTGTATGTATGTTTGTGTCAGGGTCAAAAGAACATCAGGGTCAAAAAAACATCCGCTTCTGCATAAAACTTGACCAAAGGGTAATCGAGGGTGGGGAACTCGAATCTGAGGTTAGATTTAATTAATTATTAATTAATTATTAATTAATTATTAACTAATTATTAATTGATTATTAATTATTAATGCTTTTTATAAAACTTAACCAAAAGGTAATCGAGGACGGGGAACACGAATCTGAGGTTAGTTTTAATTAATTATTAATTAATTATTAACTAATTCCCTCGACTGAAGGGAGGGTCATATGAAAAAAAATAGTTTGTCTGTGTCAGGGTCACAGGTCAAAGGTTAAAAAAACATTTCCGCAGAAAACATCAGAAAACTTGTAGTGATAGCAAAACAGGTATTGTCCGCGATGGAATTTCGACCGATCAGATTTCGAGAGGGTCTAGAGTCCGCCAATCAGCTGTTTCCTAGGTCGGACTTTCAACCAATGAGATTCCAGGGAGGGGGGGGGGG